TATCTACCTACCTACCTACTTACTTATCCACCTACCTACCTACTTACTTATCTATCTACCTACTTACTTACTTACTTACTTATCTACCTACCTACCTACCTACCTACCTACCTACCTACCTACTTACTTATCTATCTGCCTACCCACCCGTCCGGCCACCTACCTACCCACCACATACATACATACATACCTACCTACTTACCTACCCAGCCACCCACCTGGCCATCTACCCATCTACCTACTAACTTACCTACCTAACCTAACTACCAACCTCTGTTATCAGCTCACACTGCTGCAGCAGCTGCTACAGCATCTTACTGTGTGAGATGGATTCAAATATCTAGTTTTCGCTGAGTGAAATGTGTTAATGCTAAGAGAGAAAAACAAAGATAGCAAAACACATTCATTCATTATTGTAGACTGGTGTTTACTGTATGAGACAGCTTAGGCATGATCTTCTGATTTTGATCATGGTTTTTTTAACCTTGCTTCCACTATATATTCCAGTGCAGTTCCCATTGTAAACCTTTCTGTGTGGAATGTTCTATTCTCTTGGACAGTGTTAAAGCTCTGGAGCTACTTCAGAATTATTCCATTATTCACTAATGAGTCCTCCTCAAACAGTTCTACAATATACTGTCACTTTTTATAAACAGTCTATGGTGCAGAGTGAAGAGAGGAAACTTTGTGTTCACTCTACCTGGTTTATCTGCAATGAAGGTTTTATAATCAATGTATTTCGTTCAATGAAACACGATTCGGTTTATAATTGTTCAAGTGTTTTGCTTACATGTAAGTTTGAATGATTGACTCAACTGGACTGTTCGCAATCTTCAGTCCTAAGTTCACAGCTTTTCAGCTCTATAAAAACCATGTGCAGCTTTGTTCTTGAAAACAGTAAGCAGTAAAAGAAATGTTGCCCTAGGTGACTTAAGACCATGTGATCTGAGGTATGGCTGTATGTTAAGACTTTTATAAGATTTTTATAATACATCCATAGATCTGACAGGCTTGATCCTTTTGAGTCTAAGAATTCACTAGATGTCCCCCCCTTACATCAGCTTATGTTAGACACTATAGTAGACACATGTAGGTAGTAAATTAAGTAGATCTGAGTCTTTATTATAATCCCCTAATATATGACTTCCAAAGAGAGAAAGTGCCTCTTGTATATAGTGGATCCATTTTAGTAATAAAATAAAGCCTGCTGTTCTATGAGGGATAAACAATGAATAATTAGTGTAAGCTTCTGGACATTTACATCTGCTGACCACTACTGCATGGATTTCCTCTTAACTGTATTCTGCCAAGCGTCTATCCAGAGTTGTGAATGGGGGCAGTGTCATCCTGACTGACCGGTGCTAGTGAGTTTGCACCCATGGATCTCCTGGTCCTTTGAAAATGGTCTTGTAGTCCACTTGATCACTCGATACTGATAGGTGTCAGTAGAGATTAAAATGGTTCATGAAAAAAGCAATTCACTGTTCCCTCTGGAATAAATACTTAAAGTTTGTGTGTATATATACTTATCTCAGTCCCTCAGAACGTGTACCGTCTAAACATTGACACACCAGAAGAGGCGCAGCAGAACGTCGGCTTTGGAGCATCAGACCGCTGGTGGGAACAGACTGACCTCACCAAACTTCTGCTCTCATCCAATAAGCTCACACAGCTGTCTGATGATATCCGACTTCTGCCTGGACTCACTACACTGGATGTGAGTATTACCAGCTCAGTCCCCTAAATAATCCACCAAGAAGCCAACAATAAACAAATGTGTTTTAAATCTTCTATTTTGAGATATGTAATTGTTCATACAGTTTTGTAACTGCGCTGCAGAAAATTCAAATTGCTAAATGAGGTTTATCTTGAAATCGTAAAGGAACCAAAACAGCTCTAAGCTTCCATCAAGACCATCAATGAAACTAAATTCCTATTGTAATAATGTTAATCTGGGATGAAATGAGCCAGAGCTCAAACTCATCATCTAACTCTAACTTTCTCACACTGCAACTCAGCTACTGAGCCACTAACTGGCTGTAGCATCTAATTTGGTTGCCTTGTATTTCTTGAATGAACTGATGAACATAGTGTTACTATGACACATTATACAGTATATACTGTACATCATATGACACAAGTTATACTGATAAAAAAGATGAAGACATTTTAACTCCAGCTGATCTCAAACATTTATTTACTCTGGCAGCTCCATGACAACCAGCTGAACAATTTACCCAGCGCTCTTGGAGAACTGCAGGAGCTGCAGCAGCTGAGACTCAGGTACAGACACAGACAGTGCAGACTGAGAAGGATGTGATTTTCCATAGAATACATTTTCTATTTTAAAACTTAATGTACTAATGATACAATGAATGAGCAAAGCACTGCCCAGTGACAAGACGTCCAAGGTTGTGCTGCTGCATCAAGGTGATCGGATGAGCTACTGTATACGTATATGTGGATACGGACAGGTTGACAATACATTTAGCACTACCTAGAAAGTTGGTATACACAAAAAAAGATTCATAGATCAATAGAGGCCGATCATTGTAGTGGTTATATGAACAGTTACACAAATAAATGACCAGGAATATGTAAAGGAGGTGCTCAAACATTTCACTTATTAAAAGTACAAATAAAGTGGCAATAGCGTACTGAAGTAACAATAATGTTTATACTTAAGTAAAAGTAATTACCACTTTAATTACCACTAACCCTAAACATACTTAAAGTATTAAAAGTAAAAGCACCCCCTGAGTGTATCCTGTTCCCTAATGCAACAGACGGCGTCATCATTTTGGCGAGTCTTGGTGGAGCCTTGGTTCTGGCTTCTTCATTCATCAATCCATTTTGGTTTTTGTTTCTGCTGGCACTGCAGGCACTCTGCTCTCGTTGAAAGAGAAGGGGTCTAATGTAGCTTGCCCGCTTGAGATTGGAACAGTGAACCAATTTACCTGACGTTATTGATTTCTTTTAAAATATAAAAAATCATTGGAACAAGTAATGCAATGTATTGAAAATATGTTGTGGTGTAGAGTAGAAAGTACAGATGTTTGCTGATATATGTCGTAGAGTAAAAGTGCAAAGTACTGGAAAATACAACTACTTAAGTAAAGAAAAATGTAGTTTAGTACAGTAACTAAGTAAATGTACTTCATAACCTCCCTCTTCTGCAATTTAACAATGTTTCTATGAAAAAGAAATCTTGCAGCACCCCTGGCATTTTGTTATGGCACCACGGGACACATGACAGTATAATACATTAATAATTTTAATATGAACTGAAAGCACATGTGTGTTTGTTTCCTGTGTGTCCAGTCATAACCAGCTGACATCACTGCTGGTTGAAGTGTGTACTCTGAAGAACCTCCGTTGCCTCACAATGCAGCAGAACCTACTGGAGAACCTGCCAGAGGAACTGGGGCAACTGGAGAACCTGACTGAGCTGGTAACTAACACAAGCTGTTTGTATGGTATTATGATATTACATCAGACTCTTCTTTCCACTGTATTGTGTGATTGGCTGACCGAGGTGTGCTGTTTGTTGGGATTGGTTGCAGGACCTCTCCAACAACCATCTGAAGGAGCTGCCGTCCAGCCTGGGTCGTCTCACCTGCCTGCAGAAACTGAACCTGTGTAACAACAAGCTCAGCTGTCTGCCCGACAGTCTGGGCAGGCTCTCAAGTAAGACTAGCAAACTTAATGTCGGCTTGTGTGTTTATACCATGAACACACATTTACATTTGACAAAAAACATTCCCTGATCATAAATAACATTTTGCTGCTTTGAAATGATATAAATAATTAGTTGTGGGATTCAGACTGAAGACAGGGGGCTCTGTTATTAGAGGAATGATTCTCATTGGAATTTACAACTTTGTAAAGTATCTCGTGGATGGTGTAGCTGCACAGGTTTCAATTAATATTTGCCATGAATCATAATGAAGTCTTTTTAAGTTAGTTTTTTTTCCTCATAAGACCCTGTGAAAACAACAAGAAAAAAAGCACACAGGTTTCAAATATACATCTCTCCATAGTTTTCTGAAAGTCTCTAAAGTCCGTCAATATTTCACACAAACAAAAGAAATACATTTTCTGTTTGTGCCTCGTGAACCATGTGCAGAATGTGGTTATTCCAGGACTATAGGTATTCTCCCAGCATCCATTTAGGCTCTATCCAATAATGCAGTGCTTACATACATGAGCTCTGACCTATGGTCACGTGACTACTTACATTATACATTAAATTAACCTTATTTAAACAGCATTTGATTTTTAACCAAAATTACACAAGGCTCCGGATTGCGACCATTTAGGGGCAGAAGCAGCAGTTGGTTTGTACCATGCTGGAGTTTCCTGTGTTCTCCTCCACACTCCTGCTGACCTGTTCTCACTTTAACTAACTATTAAACACTTGTCACAAGTTACTAGGACCTGATCAGTACATAAAGTAACTTAGCGTTGGTTTGATTTGCTCCAGAGTTAAATAGGTTGCATTTAAACATAATGAAAAATGAGTCGTCAACATTTTGTGCTCAGTCTAACATGAGACGTGTGCAGCCAGGACTCTGGAGGATCCAGATTTATGATCCAAAACCATTGATTAATTACTAAATACATGATTGTAAGTTTGTCATCTAAATCATAACTATCCCATCCTGTTTACTGAGCTGGTAACATGTACCCTGTGCCAAATGTTTAATATTTATTCAAGAACAGTTTTTCTTTACAGAGCCAGAGCTTCCATTTATTTATTGTGTTGGTTGTGTGTGTGGTTTATTTTATTGATGGTTAATTTATTGAGGATATTATAATATTTTTCGTTCTAATTTAAATGTCAGACTGAATATTCTTAAGAATTGAAAGTTCATTGCTCTTTGCAAATGTGTACTTGAAAGATTATGCTTTAATATAATTTTTTAGTGGTTGGAAATAGTTTCTAAATAATGACAATAAAATCATTTATCACGATACTTTCTTGGGCAATATATCATCCAACACATTTTTTTGTCATGACAGGCCTACCTTAATATTTTCAATAATGCACTAAGTGAGAGGTTTACAGCTCTAATTCTCTGAAAAATGTCTTTCATATCCGAGCAAAATTGGTATTGTAGACTGAAATATTTTGATTCAGAATCAAATCGATTTCGGAAATCAGTGGCAATACCCAGCCCATGTACTTAAAGTCCAAAAATAAAGCCAATTTAGCCAATTCCAGAATAATATATGACAGTATTCTCAGCACAGAAGAGGATGAAATCTGATGTCAGAGGGTCCCTGCATGTGGACACAGTAGAGGACCTGATTAGAATAAGTCTTGAGGGAACTAGCTTGGAGGAGGTTGATGCCAAGGAGTCCTCCAGGCTGCACCTCACTGTCCCCCTGATCTCTTCCCTTGAATTCAGTGTCTGTAACATGTCGTCGTAGACTCAGAGAGGACGTTGACAAAACTGACTGTTTAAAGAATAAAGAGTGTCCAACTGCTTTCACATCATACAATTTACAATTCTGAATTTGGGGAGACGTGCTGAGAGAGAGGGCAGCATGATGCAGAGAAACGTGTGCAATCTAAGCGTTAAAGAGAGTGTCTGTATCATTTCTGATTTCATTTGACAGATTTGAAACTGTTGGACTGCAGCAAAAACCAGCTGACTGACATCCCTGCCAGCCTATCAGAAATGCTCGCCCTGGAGCAGCTCTACCTCAGACACAACAAGCTCTGCTTCTTACCAAAGCTCCCAGCACCTGCGCTCAAGGTAACCATAGCAACATTAGAGTTTCCTCGAGTGTAAAATTAATTTGTGGTGTTTTTGACACACTCTGCTCTTGGAGACATATACACACTCTGAGCACTTTATTAGGAACACCTGTAAGTCTTTATCCATGCCGTTTTACAGTCATCCAACCATGCCAGCGATGAAATGTATGAAATAATGCAGCAGTTAAAGTTAAAGTTCACATTAAACATTGGGATGGAAAGTTTGAGTGTTCAGTGACTTTGACTGTGATATGATGATAATAAAATTAAAATACAAATACAGTCATCACAATTTACAGGTACATAGGGATTAAAACAAAAACAGACTTGGTCAGACACCTTTGATGCATCCAGGAAACACAAATATTGTTCTGTAATCTGTATTTACTCTATATTCTATTCTATATTGTATGTTCATTCACAACATTCTTAAGAGCTTTTACTCAGAATGGAATAAGGAACACCAGTTCCATGTTAATCAGAGAGGTCAGAGGAGAATGGTCGGACCGGTTGGAGCTGACAGAAAGGCTTCAATGACTCAGATAATCACTCTTTACAACTGTGGTGAGCAGAGAAGCTTCTCACAGTGAACAACACATCTAACCTTCAAGTGGATGGTTCTACAACAGGAAAGAGACCAAAGGGAGAAACTACCCAGGATACGGTCACACATAGGCAAATGGATCCAATTCTACAAAGTTGAACTCCACACAAAGCCATGCTACAATTTGCCTTGGCACGGGAGTCAAATGTTTTATTCATCTTCTTGCCTGCACAGATTGGAAGTGAACCAGAAGGTAAAGGTTCTCCACAGATACATTTGCGTATGTGTAACCAAAGCAAACAGGATGAGATTACATAAAAAGTAAATGGAAGGATAAACATTTTATGTCACTAGAGCGAGAGCCAACATCATTTTAGCGTTCAAACCAAATGAGACATGAAAGTTTGTTTGGATTGAACGCATCATTGGTATGGTGTTCCAAATAAAGTTAGTTGCTGTACTATTGATTACACAGATGAACCAATATGTGAGTGCTGAGTTTGAGGTCAACAGTCATAGAGATGGAAGAAACCTTTAAAGTGATTCTCACAAAAAAATGTTGGTTAGTTTGAAGCAGTGTTGGAGTGAGAACATTACAGGTAATATCTAATAATTGTGTGTGTGTGTGTGTGTGTGTGTGTGTGTGTTTGCGTGCATGCAGGAGTTGTATGTTGGTAACAATCAGATCGAGCAGTTGGAGACAGATCAGCTGACCTGCCTGGCAGCCATCTCTCTCCTGGAACTCAGAGACAACAAGATCAAAACCCTGCCTGAACAGATCACCTTACTGAGCACGCTCACACGCCTCGACCTCACCAATAATGACATCATCACGTAGGTCAAGACATTATGACCCCTATGGCTGTTATCTGTTAAACTTAAAACTCCAATGAGAAACAAATATATCACTATCTGCTCCATTCTCACCTTATGACCTCAGACAGATTTCACCAGGTGAGCCACTGGCACACGTTTGTTTGTGTACAAAAGTTCTCCTATTTTATGACCACAGTCATTTCAAGTTTTCTATTTCTGGTTGTTATTACATGTTGCCCTGCATGCACACTGTAGCTCAATTTGCTAATTTGTAATCAAATAAAACTTGCCCACAGCAAACAGCTGGTCAACACCACATCAAAATTATGACCTCACAGCTGGACAGAGGTCAGATATTAACTCTGGAGACACACGCTAATATCTAGATCCGAGACACGTTTTAATGCCCGGTCTAAATAGAGTTTAATCGGTTTAAAGGTTCGGTGAATAGAAGCAGCTGAATACTCCTCATCTCACCCTCTGCTTCCAAACATGAAAGAGAACCTGTGGTGAACTTCAGTTGTCATGAAAACTCAAAAGGTTTTAATTTGTCCAGTTTGGACGACAGTAAAAAACATGGCAGCTTCCACAGAGAGGACCCCCCCCCCCCTCCATGTAAATATAAAGTTTTTAAACATAAAAGGATCATTCTATGGTAAAGAAAACTACAATTCATACAATTTAGATGAAACACACCAGTGAAAACATCTCTAGGATTATTTTATATTTAATTTCTCCTAAATCTTACCCACTGAACCTTTAAGCACTGTTGAATCCAGCTGAGACTTCTTTCATGTGATTTGGTGTCTGTCTCTGTCAGTCTTCCAGCATCACTCAGCTTACTGCCCAATCTGACGGTGTTACTGCTGGAAGGAAACCCTCTGCGAGGAATCAGGAGAGACCTACTCACTGTAGGTGACGCACTGAGGACACTAACACTGAGCATTTACCCTGATCAAATTGGGAAACTGAAGGAAGTTGACAAATATACTGTGTCACAATAACCTCTATGATGAGTAATTTAATACGACTTAAAACATTTGCCAGTAAAGACTGCGGTCTACTAGGACAAGGTCATTTCTTTTATTCTTCTAAATGAAGAAAACATAAAGGCTGTGGCTCAGGATGTAGAGTGGGTCATTCCCTTACCAGAAGGTCAACGGTTCAATCCCCGGTACCTCGGGCTAAGACACTGAACCCTAATACCTGTGCTACAGTGTGTGTGATAGAAAAACCACATCAAGTATGTGGATTGTACTGTAAGGACTGGAGCTGAAGAAAAGCACCATATAAATACAGTACATTTACCTTGTAACATAAGTCTGCAGTTACCATATGTCGTAGTTATTAAGTTTAAGGATGCTTCTATACATTTCAGTGACATGTTACAAGGTAAAACTCTAAAATCACGTTTTTTTCTTATTTTAGTCGAGGAGTAAGGACAGATGCCCACCTTGTACAGATAGTCTAACCCATGATTTGCGATAATGGTTTAAAGTGTAAATAAATTTGATTTGATTGATTAGATTTGATTTGAAATCAGCTGGTGAAAACATCCGTGTGAATTTTCAGACTGCTTACCATCTTCTGTTCTCACAGAAAGGAACCAATGAGCTTCTGAAATATTTAAGGGGAAGAATTAAAGGTAAAGTTCCTTTTTTGTGCTGACTGGAAACAGTTTCGACCACTGAACCATAACCTGTACAATGCTGTGAGATGTGGTTTAAAATTCTGAAAAGCTCTAACTGCACATTTTTGTGTCAGGGATTTAGGTTTCACTCAGTTCACTGTAGAAATTGCCAGAACTGTTCAAATTAAGTGTTAATACATTCACCAGCTGACCTGCTATTACACCTTTATGAAGAATACAAGTACATTTCAATTATATTATAACTTTTCTCAGTCAAGTGCTTCTTTTTGTGTGTTTGCAGAGGAGCCTGAGAAACCAGATGATGGACAAACTGCCATGACGTTACCCAGCCAGGCCATCGTCAATGTACATAACATCAAAACTCTCAAGGTATTGGCATACAGGTCAGTGATAGACATGTGTGTCACACAGAGATCAACACACGTTGTTTTATTTTACCTGTTGTTTTATTGGATATTCATAGTCATTGACTGTAGCTGTGAAACAACTTTCATATTTCTGTGTGTGCGTGTGTGTTCAGTGAGAAGCAGGCAGCTGTTATTCCAGATGAGCTGTTTGATACTGCAGCAGAACAAGGTGTTGCCACTGTTAACTTCAGCAAGAACCAGCTGACCTCCATACCTCCCAGGTACGTACACAAAATACACAGCCACACACGTAATTGCATATGATGACACTCGGCGTGAGTGGTGCTGACATCATCCCTGACATATGATGAAGATCACAGAGCTCGCTCGAGATGAGCCAGGCCTCCACCAACAATCATTGCTCAAGAGTTAAGAATTCTGTCTGACTTAGGCCTGGGCCGATAATCAATAAATCAATTAATCGCGCGATAAATTAAAATGAACTCAATCATTTTTCCGGCCTCGATATATCGCCATGTGCATGCCTGTTTGTTTTCCTCGTCTCTCGCCTCCAAGCACTCTGGATGACAAGAGGGTTCACTCTGTGCTCGGTCTCAGCACCTGGGGGCGTTTGTTGCGGAATGAACGGMGTGAACCCTCTTGTCAGTCATCCAGCCTCTTTGTCTCTGTGGGGGGAGGCGGGGCCGCTAGCATTAGCTCCACACACAGAGTGCAGCAAGTGAGTGTCGTGCGGCGCAACGCGAGGAAAGAGATTGCAAAGTCAAACGCCACAGCCCCGGTGTGGGAATATTTCAGCCTCAAACCGAACTTGATAAGCCATTTTATTTATTGTTTTGGTTGTGTGTGGTTTTATATTTGAGTGCTGTTTTTCTTAACAGAGACGGGGTCTATTTTATTGTTTTTGGTTGTGATTTTTATTCAAGTCCAGTTTTTGCTAACAGAGACTGAGACATTTTATTTTTTGTTTGTTTTATTCATTTAGGATATTTAAATGTTCTCGAAATTACAATTACAATGATAAAAAAACACTGAGAAATAAAAGTTTATTGTATTTGAAATGGTGTACATTATTATGATATATTATCATGTTGACAATAATATCGTTTATCGGCAATAATTTGTGGGACAATATATTGTCCAGCGAAATTTGTTATCGACCCAGGCCTAGTCTGACTTGTGTTTGATGGCTGCAGACAGGTTTACATGACGTTTCATACAAACCTCATGTTTCATTTTCCTTTTTATTCATATTTTGTATTGTCGGTGGTGAGACAGGTGATCTATTCTCTTCAAATTACAGATAGTTGATCGATTGATTGATAGTTCTCATAATAAAACAAGATAGTAAATGTCTTCTATATGAGTATTAACATAGACTAAATGAGAAGTGTAGTTCATCTCAGGTTTGCTGTAAAATAATGTACTAATGACCATGTGCGTGTGTGTATGCAGGCTGGTGGAGTTCCACTCGTCACTGTCAGACATCAATCTGGGTTTCAACAGACTGACCTGCTGTTCTCCTGACATCTGCAAGTTACTGCAGCTGACCCACATCGACCTCAGGTATATATACATATATATATATATAAACAATTTGCAATGATTCCTAAGCTGTTGTCAAACTCTAATGATAAAAAAATTTAATTGAGACTTGATATTACAGTTTAACTATAAACGTTATTATATATAACTATGAAAACACAAATACAAATCATATATACAACTTGTATCATATAGCAACATCCTGTATCATATATGTTCTGCATTTTTTATTCTCTGAATTAAAAGTTTTCTTACTGGCAAACATAAATGCAGACACGTCTGTGAAAGGTTCATATTACGATGTTACCAGCCAACCTTTATTTTGGATTATCTATTCTAAATATCTTGTGAGATATTCTCTAAACAGCATGTTAGCATAATAATGTTTTAAACAATGCTCAAGTGCTGTCACATTGTAAATAGTGAATACTTTATACTCTATATAATAAATGAATGATATTGATTTTATGGGATTTTAGAGAACCACAGAGTTGATTAGTAAGAAGTGGAAGTGACATTATGGTCATTATTTAATCCGCAGAGATCAAACATTTGGCTGCAAAATAACAAGACAGCATCACAAGAAAGTTTCGTTAAGGAGAATTCCTCTGGCACTTTATTAGGAACTGTCCTGAAGTCGTTTTCAGACATGAACTCTGGAGGATGTCTAGAGCATTGGGACTTTCACCGGAGTTTGCCTTTCACAAGGCATCGGCCATTATCACCAAAAGCTCGCTTGACGTCTTCGTCTGTGTCATATTTGCGTCCGTCCATTGTCAGAAACATCAACAGCCCTCCCACTCGCTCATTAGGAATCCTGCGGAGGATCTCCTGCTGTGTCCTCACATCGGCTCCTTCTGTCATTTTGCTGACTTTTTATTTGGGGGCTGGCAGGAGACACTCTGCAAAAAGTCCGGAGGCTCTCACTCTCCAGAGTTTAAGCAGCTTTATTCATACTCACACTGACCAACACTGGACAGTTGAAGACTGAAAAATGTATCCTGGTCTGATGAATTTGGATTTCTACTGAGGCTGTAGATGATAGAATCACAATCTGTCATCAACAGTTAGCCTCTGGCTCATTTAGTCATTTTGCTGTTGATTAATGAGCACTGTCCCTGTCAAATAAACAAATAAATGAACCGCATCGATCCATGGAGCCAACCTGCCTTGTGTCAACAGTCCAGACTTCTTCCTGTGCTGATGGTGGTGTGATGTTGTCTATCTGAGCATTGTTGTTGACCGTGTGCATTGAACTCCTCATTCACCAGATAACCTGCCTGTGAAGAGATTGGCATTATGAATGTACAGCTGACAAATCAGCAGAGATCACATGATTAAATGTCTGAAAGTGATGATGTAAACAAGGAAGCCAACGATGTCAGATAGCATCGCTGAAGGTGCTTATGAAGAGGACAGGACTTGTCTGGAATCACCAGTAAAATGCTGCACACTCCATTTATCTTTGTCTTTTTGCTTTCAGGAACAATCAGCTCACTGATTTAGCACCTGATATGAAGAACTTAACCAAACTACGCTCCATTACCCTCAATTGCAACAGGTAAATCACTGTTTCAGGACCAGTTTTTGAGTGTGTGTTTGAAAGGGCAAAAAGCACCATCATCTCTCACAGTTAGTTACCTTTCTTTATTTCTATATTTATATTTACATTTTTGTTATATCCTCCATGCTGTTTCATCAGGCCCATGGCTGTTATTTATGTAGTTTCTCTTTGGTAAAATACGGAATTATGATTAAGAGACATAATTCACACTGCTCCAAATGTTTCAAACCTCTCAACAACTCGATGGGATTGTAAGTACGCTAAGGTAAAAAAATGTGGTTAAAAGCATTTCTTTCCTCTCCACTGTCACCGATCGCTCATTGTGGGAATGATGATAATATTATATGGTGTTGACCTCACTCTGAAAAGTGCCTTGAGATAATGCTGCTGTGTAGATATGAAGGGATGAAGAGGAAACACTGATGGAGGAAGTTGTATTCATGAAATGAAACAACAGCAGGCTGCAAATACTGCCCGCCCTGAGTATTAATACTGCTGCCTCATAAACTGGAAGAAGAATTCAGCCACAAACACCTGTTACCTACAAACTGCTGCTGCAAATAATGCATCATCTTTTGCATCAAGGTGTCTTTAAATGTGCCTGATAGAATAACAACAAATAATGTTTTTAAAGAAAAACAACACAAGAGAGGCTAATACTAACTTGAAATGGAACAAAATGAATAGAGGAATGAATGTTTCTTATTAATCGCACATAATAACTAAAGTAGTAGTAGGTTCTGTTAAACGTGTTTCTGTGTAGTACGTTGTAGTAATAATTTCACAGCAGCCTGGCCATTCTTCTTTTCTATACCATCATATAGTATCCTCCAGTTTGTCATAGTCTTTGTACTGATCACAGGTTCAAGTCCTTCCCTGAAGTCCTCTATCAGATTGCGTCCTTGGAGACAGTGTTGCTTGGTAACAACCAGGTGGGTGGGGTGGACCCTAGTCGCCTGATGAAGTTGGTTAATCTGTCAACGCTGGATCTGTCAAACAATGACCTCCTTAACATCCCCCCTGAACTGGGCCTCTGCTCCAGCCTCAGGTAGGAAGCACAGCTGAGCACATTGTCCTGTGCCTTCTTTTAATACGTGTCTGAACACGACCACTGCAGCACCAACACCTGCCTGCACTGTTCTTCAGGAGGACAATGACACTGGTGCCGCTCAGTATTTTTTGCATCTTGTATATTTTCTTACATTTCCTCCCAGAAAACCCTCAAAGAGTTTGAATTAAGTGTAAATGAAGTGAGACATTCTGAGAATTTAACTGTGTCAAAGAATCGTAGTGAAAATGTCACATGGATGATGAGTTGAAGTTTGTGTTGTTCCTCAGGTGTCTCAGTCTGGAGGGGAATCCTTTCCGCACACCCAGAGCAGCCATCATGGCCAAAGGAACGGATTCAGTGTTGGAGTATCTCCGCAGCCGCATACCTACATGACTACCTGAGCTCAGCTCAATCAATTTCAATCAGTTTTGATTTTTAATTTGCTTCAATCAACAATCTGAAGGCTCTTTATAAAATGCAATCCATGTTACAAAAAAGTAAGCATGACTAAGCACTTCTCTAATAAAATTGTTCTAAGAATTATAAGGAGTGGTGTGAATTTTATAACAGTGTAGTAGCAACAGTTGATGGACCAGTGGCAACTCTTTAACAAGCACAGGGCCATTAAAATAAAACAGCAGCTGTAAGCTTCAATAATGTTTATAATGTTTTACTCAGCTAATTAACAATCAGCTAACTGTTGCCAGTTAGCTTCGGGAGTAGCTCCGGATCATATCGTTTTGTGGTGAGACATCTTTACTGACAAGCTCTTTTTTAACTTGGATTTGTCCCCCTCTGTGGACAGTAACTGTATCAACTTTCTAAGAGATCACATCCAAACCTGCCAGTCTTTGTTCCATTATTGTGATGTCAATCACAATGTGAGCTGAGGAGACTCCAATAGAAAATGATCTCATCCATCAAGACACAAATTCAAACTTTCACCTCTTCTATAGTTTGTCTTACATCATTCCATCACTTGACTTGACTGAAAATGTATTACATGCTCTTTGACTGTATATATTTCCCTTTCATATCTAAAGCTATTATGACTCATGACAATTACCACCCAGAAGCTGTCAGTTAAGAAACACAATATTGTTCAACTTTTCCCTATTTTATATTTATGCTTATACAAAAACCTGCCACATCAAATACCTTTTATGCATAATACTACTTGGCAATAAACCCAGATTCTGAAATAGTGTCACCATCACCCTGCACAGGATGAGCAGGTGTAGTTGACAATATAGGTAAAATAGGGAACCAAGCACAATGGTGAAAGCACTTACAGACCTGTCAGCAATAAAATCATTCTATATGATTTGGTGTAAAGAATTTTGATTCAGCTTTTCTTCCAGCCTGAGTTGTTATCTACAAAAATAAACAGACCTTACCTGTGGTGTATAAACACGGCAGCAAATGAAACATGAGACCTGATTTCCCAACAGCCTGTTCACATCAGACATAACTCTTCTACTTCTATAGTGACATTCATTTCTGTGGAATGTCACTATTTATGAATCGTTTGTTTTTTGCCTCTATGCTTGTAACAGCAAGTGACCAGAGTCACTATGTTTTCAGGGTGTTCACCTGTCTCCCTTTCCTCTAAACGCAATATTTTAAGAATGCCGTGAGGGATTTTATTTAAATGTGGTACAAACATTCACTTGGACTCAAGGATTAGATTAAGATTAATTGATTCGATTTTGGTAGCCGAAGCTCAAGGTCTCATGGCTTCATAGAGGTTTTCTTGATCGTGATATCTTAAGATCAGCTTGAGGGAATGTCTTCAGATTGTTATGTAGTGAACTTCTAAGCAGCGGAAGGTGAAGAGGACAGTTCTGTCGTGTAGATCAGTGAACAGCTCCTCTCCATGTGAAGGCAGGATGAGTCCTCTGCAGCCTGCTGATCACTCACTCCTACACTTGTGTTGGAGAGTGCTGTGTGAGAGGATGCAGAGATGCTGTGAAATATGATTACATACAGTCTGTGTGGGAAATACAGGACCTTCAGTGCACTGACTGTTTGGAACAAACTTTATTGAAACTGTCAACCAGGACAGGTGCAACCTGACAAGCTGAATATTTTTTTCAAAAGTATGAAGAGAGTCTCCAACAGATAATATGCCAGTTTTTGTTATACAATCCTCAACCACAAAATATTAACCAGTTATCTAAAAAAATAATAAAAACAAATCTGGATACCAGCTTTAATCCATTACTGTGACATTGAGGAGATTTGATGATTTCCTGGCTGTTAAAACCGATTTTGACACTCCAGTCACTGATGACTGATTCTCCTCGTTCTTTTTTACTGCAGGTATACTGTACACAACCTCCGACAGGTATAAACTAACACAGGTACAAACCAACAAAATCAAACGACTGTTTATTGTTCAACAAAACAGCACAGACATAACAACATTAAAATCTGGCCATAACAGACAGACGGTGACAGACGGACAGCTGAAACTACCAGTAATACACTATCAGCACTCTTTAGAAGTGCAGAGTCACCGTTATTTTTCCCATGCCACTAAAAGTCAACACACCCTGAAGGAACCCTAAGCAGAACCCTAATGTAATAAAAGTAAGCTGGGGTGGGGGGGGGGGGGGGAGGGTGAGGGTGTATGCCTCTGATTGGCTGATGCAGAATGTGGACGGCTGATGATAAGTTTGAATCTAAAAGTCCTCAAAGCACCACTTGATACCAAGAAAGATCATTGTTGCAAAATGGCCAACCTCCTTACAGTATTTACAAAAATATAAAATGTAAATAAAAATACAAACTAATTCTGTTTGTAAAAGTATTCTTGTTAAGAAGGGAGGACTGAGGTGTTGAAGGTTTGCTGGAAAACTGGCTGTCTGTCCTCTTGGTGGCGTCGTCGTCCAGACAGCGCGGGCTTGGCCACACTCTACTTATCTGTCTTCTGCTTCTTGGTTTCAACTTCGTCCTGGAAACGAGGAAGAACATGGTGAGACGTGTCATCTCAGGAAAAGAGACCACAGGTAACCACACCTTCATCTCCCTCTTCAGAGCTGGACAAATGCCAACATGCTGGTTTGTCTATAATGTGGCCTGAGCTGTGTTAAGGTGGAGCTTAGAATTCCAATTGTTTTGACTGTTTTCTGTTGATTGTGGTCTTTTCTTTTCAGGTATTCACAAATGACAAAGGAACATTTCATTTAAGTATAATGCTAATTTCACAACACAATACTATAGATGATTTATATCTTCATGACGGGACTAGAAGATGCCTTGGTCATCAGTCACTGACTTTGTGTGAGTACATTCACTGTATTGTGCATCATAAACAATGATGTGTGTACCCTGAGTTACACTGCAGCTTCAGCAGCTTGTACAGTAAAGCATGTTTGCGTTAAGCCATCAGTTGCATTTATTTCTCATTAATTAACTGATTGAAAACAATTCTCTGCTACTGTGACAAAAACAGTATAAGCTGCCAAACAGAACGCCAGAAAATATTTCTTTATATTTTAATAATAACAATCAAAATTACCTATTACATATATAATGTACCTATTTGTTGCAACCTGGTGTTGCAGATGCACAGTTCACTGACTGAACCACCTCTGCTCTCCTGCTCTGGTGGACACATTGATTTTGATATTGATATCGAGTCTGACTTTCGGTGAAAGCTCCGATATCCATGAGCGTTGCATTTGATCCCCTCTTCTTTGCTGTCAGACTAAAAGTGTGCTCCCATATCGTACTGTTTATACACCGTGTGTATCGTGCAGACACTGACTGATTAAGCATGGTAGCAGAAAACAGTGTGACAACCCTGCAATTCAAATAATGCACAGCACTCACACTCTTTTCAGAGGAACTGCTTTCTATCAAACAAAAATCCTAATGAAGTATTTTGAGCTTGTGTTCTGTAGATGATCCAAAATAACAATTAGTTATTTATGGCTAATGATGCAAAGTTGTATGGCAACTCTTCCTCACCTCTTCATCATCATCATCATCATCCTCAGCTGCTCTCTTCCCTGTTGGTCCATCAAGGTCATCATCTTCATCATCCTCCTCATCACCTGAACACACACAGATCATCACATTGACTCTGGATAAACTCAGTCTTCAGTTTACTGTGTTTAACTACAACGCCCTCACAGTTTGAATTTCTCTCAAGTTTGTGTTGAGGATTTATCTCCTCATCACCAGTGAGTCAATATAGATTTAACTCCCAGTTACAGTTACAATGTTGATACCAGTTATGATCTCAAGGACATTGTGCAGTTGTACTGTCTGGCCACCAGGTGGCCCACTAACCCTTCAATTGAATCGATGAGGAATTCGGTGAAATGAGCACAGGTCGCTGATCCTGATCCATTAGATGTGCAGCTCTGTTTCAGCAGCAGTAACAGTAAAGCTTTTACATGCTCATGTGACCCAACACACAGTCTGAGGTTAAAAAAAAAAAAAGAATACACTGTGATACTGAAGTTCTTATCCTGAGTCCATTGGTTGTTTGAAGGGTCCTGAGAAACATTCCCCTGGAACAGAGAGGACGCTTGAACTCTGAGTTGTTTTAATTATTAATTGGAAGTTGGTGTTAATTAGAGTGAATGCTTTGTGAATAAACTGCTGCACTGTTTTACGTACATGGCCATCGGCCAGGGCTGGACAAGGCCTCGGTTCTGAAGCTCCGTCCAATACCAACCACACAGTGCCGACAATGTGACTGTGAGACGAGCTGCTGCGGTGTCAAAGTGTTATTTGTTTTCTTGTTGCAAATATGCAGCTGCTTTCACAGACAGTGGTGATGGTTAATGTGTCACAAGATACAAATAATCATCACATTGAATAAGATTCTAAAACTTCATTTAAATATATATTTATATGTACAGTAAATACTTTGGCTCCAAAAAAAACATCCCATCACAAAGAATGTCAATCTCACAACAATAGTGTTGGTGGTTCACTAGCAGGTAACACCATCATTTTTTGTCCAGGTTACTTCAGCATGGTATGAAGACACCCACCCTCACCGTCCTCGTCGTCCTCCTCTTCTCCCACGTCGTCCTCCACCTCATTCTCCTGCTCGCCGTTCTCCTCGTCCTGACAGGGTGAGACAGAGTTTATTGTCACCAGCACAGAGACATGGATCATTCGTGTTCTGCAAGCAGAGAAGAGCTGTCTTACAGCTTTGCCGTTGGCAGCAGCATCGTCTCCGTTCTCGGCCTCTTCGGTCTGCTTCTTCTCCTTCAGCTCCTGAGAGCAAACGTATTCTTAGACACACACATGTCACACAATTTTATGAATGGGGCGTTGAGTTGACACAAATAAAAGGACAACATGAAATGACCTGGTGACCAAATCTGACAGTGTGTGACAATAATATTTTCAGATCCACTTGACTGAGTGTTCAGCTTCGGGCATCAAATACTATGTCTCCATGCCTCAGTGTTTTTTTTCTAACTGTGCGTAGCTGTAGTATATTTTTACTGGCTCATACTCTGTCTCTGTGGTCAAACTATTACAGCACTCTTCTTGTCCTCTGT